ATACCAAGGGCACTGGGGAGAGGAACAGTTTGAAAAAAAAGTGCTCTAAAGTTACATAAATTATGGCTTTTGCAGATACGAGTCCGCAATAAATGAGCACCGGGTAAAATGAGATAAACACATCCTCCAATAAAGCAATTTGTCCGTTACCCCGTTCGCCTTTACTATGCGCGGACCCGTATAAACCGCACGAAACGCTAATAACAAGAGCTAACGAATTTCCTTCTTTATTTTTTTTTGTTTTTTTGTTTTTGATACTCCGAACTGTTTTTGAAATATTATATAATATCGAAAATGTGTTACTATTCTTTCAAACGCTACGTAATGAGTACACGAAGTTACGTAGGGTATGTATATAATATAATAACAATTGGTAAGCGATGGAAAAAAAACACCCCTGTATACCTATCGCAGTTGTATTGTTATTACTTTATTATATAATATCATATTGTTATTATTGTATACGAAAAATGTGTCCTGTTCATTTCTTTTTTTTTTGTGCTAATTACTCAAATCGATTCATTGGCCACAGTAGGTACGTAATATGGTTACTTCAGTTCAAGTTTTAAAAACTAGACCATTAGATTTTATTATATATAGCTATCGAGTACAGTTTCCTTTTGCAATCGACCCAATCTCGAAATATAAAAAAATAGTTTTAAACAGCACGGCTCTTGTTTAATAAATTAGATTTGACACTACATGAATAATATACACCTTTATATATAAATATTAAATAATAATTGTAATAATTGTAATAGTTATTAGGTATATATTTTATTATTCAACTTCAACGCAATGGCCAATATTAAAAGAACAACTACACTCGTAGACTCGATGCCAAAGAGAAAACGATAACACTATGAGCAGACTGGTGCAGTGCAAGGAGCATTACATAATAATATATATAAATATATGTATAGAGTATGCATATATGTGGGTAGTTGGCATAGAATATACGTAGTGCCGTCGAATACGCACCCTGCCGATTACACCTATACACAATATATACAATATCGCTGCACATCTAGAATAATATATAAACTATTATTATAATAATATAGGTTGGAACTTGGAACCATTATTATATTATGAACGATACGGAGCGCGACGCACAGTAACAATACTTCAAGTTTATATACAACGTTAGATGCCCATATAATATTTTACCAAGGATTTACTCGGATTTCACACAAATCTACACAAATAGGCCGAGGCCCCTACCCCATATAAATATATTGTGTACATACATTATTTGATAAATTCTATAAACAATAACCGTGGGGATGATACCGGTCGTTGGCGAAGGCGTCTATTCCTTCGGGGCATCTGTGAATAGCAATTTATAAATATTTAATGCTTAAGGGTTGTGCTGTCTATTACCTTGAAGCGTAGTCGTCGAAAAATCAGTGACGCGTTTAGTCGGACTGGCTGCTCGACGGTAGGCTCGTCGCAACGTACGTGACACACATTTCTTAGGGACTTCGTCTCGCCGCAAACTTCTAGTGTATCGTTATAATAATAGTATTCCCATACTCGAGAATATAAAGGCTGATAAAAAAGGTTTTCAATCGAGAAACGAAATGACCAAATAGCAAGCGACCATGGCCGTTTTCTCAAGACTGCAGTCAGAGGTTAGGGTCTTACCACCTAGCACCGCATAATATCCTGCTGCGATTATGCTTCAATGGTCGGCGTTCGGTATGACCGAGTGGCGAGTTTGTACCACGGTTGTAGACCGTAGTGTATGTAATATATATCATGGTTGAATGGTTTATACACCAGATCCCACTTTTTCATACATAACTTCACTCCCCAAGTGTCGCGTTTCTTCGGACTTGTGGTGCGATAGTGATAGGCTCGCCGCAACGAACGTGACAGAAATTTGTTGGAGATTTCATCGCACCATCTTCTAGTGTATCGTAATAATAGTAATATTACTATACGAAATCGAGAATAATGACTGCCTACAATAAAAAGGTTTTCGATCGAGAACGAACCAAATGGCAACCGATGATATCCATTTTCTCAAAACTAGCGGAGTTTACCCGGAACACCGCATATTATAACATATTCCAAGTCAACGGTCAGCGTTTGGCATGACCTACTTTGTACCGCAGTTGTAAGCCGTAGGGTATGTACCCATGGTCAAAGGGTTTGTACCGCAGATCCCACACTTCTAAGCATAACTTCACTCCAGATTTCCCCGAGAGACGCGTCCGAGAAAAGTTGCCGCCGGAAACGGTATCATAACAACTATACTACTATTCGTTAACCATTTTCGACGACAAGCTGGTGCCGTGTGCGTTTTCATTAAAATTGGTTTCAAAAATGCTTTTGGGTCTCGTCGTTCAACACCAGCTATGCCATAGCGTGTTAAAGGTCAGATAAGTGCAGTGGTATAAGAATGGTTGTGCGGCCTCTGAGTTTTTTTGAGTAGGTGGGTTGGTTGGTTGGTTGGTTGGTGATAGGTGGCTGACAATATTGCATAACAAATAATTAAGGAAATTATTTCAATATTGTAAATTTATATTAAGTGCCTGTGTACGATGGGGTGGACGATATATTTTAATCGATTAAACAGTATTGCAGTGTGTGATAAACAGTATTTTGTATAACTATTTATTACCGTCGGCGGTCGTTTTAGTTATCAAGTAGTATAACTTCCAAAATGGGAGGCGGTAATAACTTATAATAGTATAACTTCCAATACCTAACACTATTGTATAATATTATAGCATAAAGCATGCTTGTATTTAAACATAAACAAATTAACTACCAATAGAAAATAGCCAAAAGCTAGGTAGTTAATAATATAATCAGGATTGATATTATGATATAGCCAAGAGATAGAAAGAAATACACAAATACAAAGACAATATTCCAAACACGCATTGGAGAAACTACAGATGAATAAATATTCCGATGGTGCTAATGCTAAGCTGCTAAAATATAGTGAGGGACATTATATATATATATACATATATAATAAAATAATATATTTCAAAAAATAAACAATGTTTATTAATTGATTCGTATTTTTTTATATTTGTATTTTTTATATATTTTATATAACTGCAATTTTTGCAGATTAAAAACAAGCAGTGTTTATTATATTATGTAATTGTATTCGATAAAAATATCATCATAGTCGAATCGACAATTTTTTTTTACCGATTTCGCTTTTGCCAGTTCCGACATTTGCTAGATTTTTAAAAAATATTTTAACCATTAAACAAATCTTTTTGTATTATGATACATTCCGCATACGCTTATTAAGTAATAAAAATAAATTTTTTAAGAATATTATGAACTAATATTATTTTAAAACTTATAATAATAATTTATCTTACATAATATTGTTTCAGTATTATTAACTATTAAATAAAACAAATTAAATGTGAGTAAGACTTTTTTAGAAGGGGCAATAATTTCATAATTCATATTCAATATGATTTTCTTTCACTTTTGGCAAAAAATGTAATTGAATATGTGGGAGTTACCTAATCAAAAAAACACAAAAGTCTGCGTGCATATTTACCAATGATTTACTAGTAATGAATATTAAATATATTTCATCAAATGTACATTAAATTAAAGAGCTACTAAATATACCATGTTATTTCCTATTTACGAAACACAGTTATTGCTGCTGAAAACTTACAAACACACCTAAACGAACTACCCCTACTGGACGTTTTAAACAAAAAATCTCAATATTTTATTAAAATTGATTGAAAAGATTGAATTGTACATTTTAGGTTTCTAAACATGAGTTCAGTAGTAGAGCCCGTCCACCCGTCCGTTAGTTACCAATATATAGTTATTATTATTTATTTATAATTAAATAAATAATTTTTCAACAGTTATATTAAAAGTAAATTAATAATAGCCAGTATCAAAAAAATAGTTACCAAAGTATGAGATTTAATATAGATTCTTACAAGCCAATATTAAAAAACAGAACACAAAATATAAATGCTTTAATTGAAAATTGAGGTATTTAATTTATTTAGGTTTCTATACATAAGCCTATTCAAGTTACCAAATTGTATGTGTATGTGGAAATATAGAATTAAAGTTTATTAAATACCTAAGAAAAATAAAATATGCTTAGAAACCGAGTATTTAGTACGTTCGCAGAGTAAGCTTTCCTTACTTGTTTATGGTATATATATTAGGTATATCTACTACTTATTTTAATTATGACCGATAAAATAGTAATATGTAATAATAAAAAATTAATTAAAAATTTAACAATTTAAGACTAGCCAGCTAGTTGGAATTAATTACACAAATGACTATAAACATAAGACAAATAAAATTGAACTTAATCACAAAATATACTAATTATACAAACTGCGTTGAGGAAATTCTTTTTCGAATAAAAATATCTTATTTCGTTTGATTTTGATTTGTTTTTTACATTTGATTTTTACTTAGGTATATGAATGACAGATTGTCGAAAAAAATTGAGATTTAAATTAATACTTATTAAGGGGCCGTTACAGTTACATTTGTTTTCTCTGTCTTACAAGTGCGTAACATAGCAAATTTTACGATCAGAAAAACACGATTATCTCCCTTTAGTTTAAAAATTAGAGCAAATTGACTTCTTATAAAATGTAAAGGTAAGATTATTATCTAGACAATGACCTAGGCTTATTATTATAATTTAATTTTAAAGCGAGTTATGTGTATTTTAAAATTGTAAACTGTTTGTACATCTTAAAATACTCATAACTCGCTTTCAAATTAAAATATAATAAAAAGTCTAAGTCATTGTGTAGATAATAATCTTACCTTTAAATTTTATAAGAGGTCAATTTGCTCTAATTTTTAAACTAACGGGAGATAATCGTGATTTTCTGAGCGTAAAATGTGCTAAGTTACGCACTTGTAAGATAGAGAAAACAAATGTAACTGTAACGGCCCCTTAATTGTATTAAACATATTAGGCATATAATATTATGCAGTGCTAACCTAACCTATAACCATAATCAAAATGTTAGTGGATCGGACGATTTACCCAAATCACGTGATCTACCCAGATCAAACACACCGAACTGGAAATCCATCAGCTTTAGATTACACGGTGCAGGTACATCGTTTTGGCCAGTCAGCCCAATGGTTGATTTATGAATCTTCAATCCATCCGCGTACGGTTTAAATTTATTTCCATTACGCTTCCGTTTGAAATTATTGTCGAAATTTATATTTTTAAAACCTGACTTGTTTTTTGCAGTCGGCATTGTTATTACAGTCGTTCATAACGACAATCGAGGAAACCGAGTGATAAACGGAACAAAAGCAATGTCACAGAATTTTTGTACTCACAATACACACACACACGCACACGTACTATACACAGATAATATTATTTGTATACATAAATTTAACTGGTATTTTAATTTATTTTCTATAAACTTTATATTCGCTAGCGCACAAACAATTTATGTTTTCCTGCCGTTTTGTAAATACCGCCATTATTATTGATAAATTATCATGCGATGTTACTTTAAATCGGATAAAACAAACCACCACTTAATGTCCGCCGTGAGCTCACCTAAACCGCGTCAACTAAATTGCCAATACATTAACCGGTGAACATGTATATATATATTACGATATTATTTATGACTATATTTTATAAAGAATGATGTGTTTCGGCGCGAGAAAAAAAAGCCTGAGATATATCTTCTGTTAGCTGTGACTATATCGTATAATAATATTATATTATACAGCGTCCCGCTAGCGACACGATCAAACTACTACATTTTACAGTTCGGATGAAATAAAACCTTATCGTTTATTCGACCCACGGATCTCCGTATACAGTCGGACATTATGCTTAGCACGTATACAAAGGGAGGTCCGGGATCACGTCAATACCCTGTGCAATGACAAATAAGGAATTAGTTTGGGTTCTTTTTCCTATATTTTTTTTGTCTCGTACAACTCATACTATACTATCACTACTACAACTCAATACTATACCATTGCTGGGTACTGCCTTCATACTGCTACCGTTACACTATACGACAGCTGCTACTTCACCTTTGTACTTTAAGTCATTATTATACGAGTAACCTTCCGTAATACACATTTGTGATTTCCATGCCTTATTCCGATTTCTGATGTCGCCGATAGATTGCATTATTATTATTAGGTACAGATTGTAAAAATTTGTATAAAAATAATTATCGTGCAAAATTTTAGATTCTTTTATCTTATTAAACAAAATTACAATAGGTTATTGTGAAAAGTGTATAGATTATGCGTTTACCGTGTATTAAGTATATTATATTATATGAATAATAACTAAAAAAAGCGTTATTTGTTATGAATTATACGAATACATTTAATATAATAGACATTTTCAAAATAATAAAATTAATCAAATATTATGAAACTTAAAAATAGCGTTCTCTTACGATACGAAGGTATTTTGATTGTGATTTAATAATCATTGCATAAAATCCAAATTGAAGTAAAACCAATTTAATATTATGCGAGTATTTAATTATATTTGTTTTACGGTGCATTTCATTTTTCATAAATGTAAACAACGGTGATCCTAAAGGTTTTTTATCAATTAAATGTTCATTATTGAGTAACGTGCCGTACGGATATTGGAAACGTATCTTTCAATATCGTCGTGTACAAATTTATAAGCATAATTAAATTGTTATTAATCACTATTTCAAAAGGACTTCAATAGTTGAACATGAAAATACTATTCAAATTCTATAAGTACTAATAAATTAATATAACTATATACATTCTACAGTAAGCTAAATTATAGAGTAAAAATATAAAGATTTATCGTTGAAGAAATTAAATATATTTTACAAAAACAAAATACTGTAGAAGACTTGCAGAGTTCGCCATTAAATAGCATTAGGCAGGTACGTATGATACGTGGTAAGAAACATAAAAATGATAATAATTATTATTATTGAACACAGAGAAGAAGCACCGTTTCGATTCAATCCCGAATAATTATATCACTTTTGTGCCAGTATGCCCAGTAGTAGTGTACATCGCTAATACGGCAACTTTGTAAATTGTATAAGTCCATGCCATACGATTGGTTCTCCTCTCCGAAGAGCGGAAACTTTGTGAGCGTGTTACAAGAGGGATGCTCGCGGTTTTACGTCACTGATTAGATTTCCGCCTAGCCGAACCGCTGACCTATTTTTCAAAACCCTGCTCATAAACAAATTATAAACTGTTTTCTGACCAGAGAAATATAAGTGAGTGATAGTAGACCAATCACATTGAACTTTATAAGTCAAGCCCTCCGTACAATATAAATATTATAAAAGTTTTGAGGAGAAAAAGTCCAATATTAGTACTAATAGCTAGATTTATTACATATTATTATTATCATTCTTAAGAGGTTGAAAATCGCCGGGTCAATTTATATTTAAATGTATATGTACAATTTATTGTACATACAGAATTTTTAATGATATAATAATATATTGTCTATATATATTCTATTCAGCAATGTCCTTAATAATGGCAGTGCATAGTAAGTTATTATAAAAGTAATGTCGGGAAACGTTAGTGATATTGTTTCTAATTAACTCAATACATCCAAAAGTACACATTATTATTATTATAATATGGAGAAACTCGATATTTTTATGAGAAAAGTTGATAGATACTTTTAGCAAAGTTTTATTGCTCAAAAAACAACTTTATTTAGAAAATCATAAAACTAAATAAAATAAGGTCAATACGTGGTACAAGTACGTCGGTACTTTAACATAATCAATGTTCCATGAGTAATGATTTGAAACAATGGACTGGAAACGTATTGGATCTTGGTTTCGTGTTTTATTTTAATTTTCACGTTGTTCATATTGCTTATAAAAATATAGCTGTATGCCTCATTATATTTATTTTAACAAGGAGAACATTTCAAGGTAAAAAGATAAAAAAAAAAACGGTATTATTGAGGATTACATTTTGTAACATCTAAAACGGGTACCTGTATCTATATAATATATACCTATTATACTTGTTCGACAAAACGAAATTTACCTTCGAAGTTTTTTGAACATTGAAAGGGAAAAAAGTTGTTTAATTAAAAACTGGTCGATGGGAAAAATCGTATAATTAAAGTACCTCAGGTTCGTTCCATTTCTTATTGGTAAACAAAGCCTGCGCTAAAAAAAATTTGTCCAATCACGTATAATCCGTTCATGAACGCCTACATCTGCTTCGTCTTATTTATATGCTCGTGTGCGTTTTCATGTACGTGTGTGAAGAGATTTATTGCAAAGCAAACGCAGACTTTCCCCTTTCATTCACATAAAACAACAGGAAGTCAAAGAAGAGTGGGAAAGGGGAGAGGGAAGGGGGAATTAAGGAATGTGCCAGTTTAATTTCTTAAATTGATTTACAAGATTCGGAATGCGGCGTCGGATTTTAATTTAATAAAACCATTTTAATTGGTATTCTCTTTACTGAAGCGTAGGGCTCTACACCGGACTTTTGACGTACAAATACAATTATACATGATTTACAATAAACACGTTTTAAATTAAGTTTGGTTTATTTTTTTTTTTTTTTTAGGCATGTTTATTATAATAATTCACGTGTTATATGAGCTTCGGCGTTGTTAGGGCGGTTAGGTACCACTCAATCGGGTGACGTCAGAGAACACCATATTATAATGAATAACATATATCACTCACATGAATTACCACGACGAATAATTAAAACATTAATTACAACCCAATGCTAATTAATAACCGGCCGGACAAAAAATTGAAAATAAACGCGCACAATGAAATCATAACCCATTGTTTCCACGTTTCAGAAACAAAAAAAAAGTCATTAAAAAATGAATAATAAACTCGATCAGTCAATAAACAACGGCGTATACACTGTATACAGTGTATGGAATAATGTGTGTTTATTATGCCATTGATAAACGATGAATTTTAAACTATTATTATTATTGTATACCTATACTATGAAGTTGAATCGATTGCATTCGTGTTCGTAAAAAATTATTTCCCGAACAACATATTATTTTGTGGAAATCAATTCGATTAATCCACTCCAATACTGATACAAGCAACCTTTATAGTCAGAAACTTATAATGAACACAACACTGTGCGTTTTTTATTATCTATAAATTACACTGAAATCGTTTTAGTAAATACCACTCATGGACAAATGTTTATTGGAATTTTAATTTTTGTTTTCATAGGTAGTATTAATTTTAGTACCAGATGGAGTATATAAAAGGTACACTCTCCTGAGATTATCTAGTACAGACAGGTCCGCGTAAAAATAAGAAGTAGGACAAAATAATTTTGAAATGACTTCAAAATTGTTTTTATGGCTACCTACATAATTCTTGAAATAAAATGTTGTTTAACAATTTATACATCTTACCCAATTATAATAAAAGTTTTATGATTCCGAGCCATAGTAAGTATATCCTTTCATATGTTTTATTTATTTTTAGTTTTGTCTGATTAAATTTTTTCCTGTATCAGGAATGCTCTAACAACGGCATGTGACCGTACTCAATGTTATATCTATAAAATATGTAGCTTAACACAATTTCTTTTACATCTATAATTTTCCATTTATTTTAATTTATAATTTTTCTTCAGGAAGTGTCTGGAGAACAAGTGCCGCCATTCCCCACCCGAGCATGGCAGATACCTAAGGGTGCCCAAATAAAAAATTCTGCCAAAACAAACACACACGTGTTAATCTCCCTACCAACAAAAAACCTACAAACAAAAACAAAAAGTAGTAAATGGCCTTAGTTGTCTGGCTCAAGCTCAATAAAAAAAAAAAATTCAATAATGTCTGAAAAATTTTTTACAATAAAACGATTGATCTATATCAATGATCGATTTTAATTAAATGTAATCAAAATTACTGATATCAAATGATTTATATTTATAACCATATTCTTACTTTAGTTCCCGAAGATATCTTAAAAAAGCGTCATTCCACAATATTGCATTGCAAAGCTTTTAATCATGCGAATGTTTGCCAAATGTATTATTTAATACGAGTAATAACGATTTTTTTAACTTTCATTGTTTATTTTTAAGACCTAAAAATTTAATAAAATCGGTTAACCATAAATCATTCTAATCATGATTAAAAAATCTTAAATGTCTAATTTTTTTATGAATACATTTAAAGTTTTAATAATTGCGATTTTTTAATTATGCGTCTATAAGCAAGTTTTCCAGATTTATTATAATT